TTCAAAAAACCCCCCCCCCACCCCCCCCCCCCCCCCCCCTACTGCTCACATAATATTAGGCTGTGTGAGCAAGCTTTAGACACGAGGGTCGGGTCCTCCTCAGGCGGATCATTCTGAATGCCATCCTAATGCATTAATACATTGAAAGGGAACACACCTAAAATGCAATGCACAATATGTACCTTGTAGTGTGATGTGTCGAATAAAATGGCGCCTGACTGTTTTTTGTCTGCATTACCACATTGCAATGAAGTGCTACACTGTGAATGGCCCTTTATACAAAGAGTGCACGTGGTGACCCAGGTACCTTCTGGGTTTGGAGGAGCTCAGGTTTGGACTGGGTTTGGGCTGGGTACTGGTCAGAGGAAGAGAGCAGAAAGTATCGGGATCAACAGGTGTTTATAAACATTTACTCACAGTGATATAAAATAAACATTGCAGGACTACACTTGCTCAGCAAAAAGGAGCTATTTACTAGGGATGCACCGATACCGGTTTTTTGGTATCAAGTACCAAAATGTTTTGTCAGTTCTCACCGATACCGGAAGTCCCTATAAGGAAGCCAGTGGGTGTGTAGTGACTCGTCACCCAGCTTCTTGATTAGACGGGAAGCCGGGCGGTGTGTAATGACGCCGGAAGCCGGGGTCAGGTCATTACACAGTGGCCAACTTGCTAATTGGCCCGGGAAGCTGGATCCATGCTCCCTCGTCACCTGGTGACGAGGGAGCATGGAGCCGGCTTCCCGGGCCAATTAGGAGGCCAGGCAGCATGTAATGACTCACTGCCCGGCTTCCTGATACCGGAGGTTCCTGTATTGGGATAGACATCGGGAGTATTTGGGTGAGTACAAATACTTGGTATCAGCACCAATACCGATACTTTCATGTTTGGGTTTACATACACTTTAAATAAACTTCTCTCCCCCAGCTTCTGCGTACAGCATTCAGGCAAAGGTGATGTAGATGAGATCCCAGGGAATGACGAATAACCTGAAATCTCGTGGGGTGGGACTCCTGTTATGGTGTTTCTTCCTGCAAAATTTGGGCTACTCGGCAATTCCCTCAATTTCGTTGAAAAGAGTGTTATGTCACCCTCTGCAGTACAGAAGCCATGGAAAAAAAGAAGTATATGTTTTTAAACTTTTTCATTCCGCATTTTTTTATACATTGCAGTATTTTGTCATGGGAGAGCAAAATAAATAAATGGGCCTCGATTGATTGCAATGCCTGTGACTGTATACCTATGGACTATGTACATCAATGGTAGAGTTGTTCTTGTGTTCTGCTGCCACCTGGTGGTCATTGTAGAGAATGCTTCCCCTGTCATGTCATTGAGGGGGTTTCTCATAATAGATTTTGACGCTTTCTGTCTGTTTTCATATTAACCCTTTATCTTAAAATGGGTCCAGCCGTTATAAGTTTAAAAGGTTGTTGGAAATTGTTTTAGCTCTATACTGGAACGGGTGTCTGTCATGACATTTCCACTACATATGGTGGCGTTGCTTTGAAGCATCAGACTTTATATATAAGAAAGGAAAAAACAGTCCCCAAATTACAAGTGTGCAAAAACAAAGTAATGAAATTCTGAAAGTACCACACAGCCATCATGTGGATCTATCAGCCTTACGATCAGAGTTCTTTACAAATACTGAGCTGAAATGTGAAACACTGGAAAAGGATACGGGATGAGCACAGGCAGCCCGGCCATCAGGTGACTGAGGATCCGCTCTCTGTTTTCTCCATCCATCCCACCAGTCAGCAGCTCACATTGACAGCCAAGCACCAGCTCTGCCAGGGAGGCCATATTAGCAGCTGTAAGAACAAGTTTTATTCACACGTCAAATAACTGCCAGGCACACCGGATTCTGCAGCAATTCCTCATAGCGGAACTGTCCACCATTTTATAAGAGGTGTAGAGGACAGGGAAGGTATTTCCTAGTGCAAGCAGCCATCTTTTTCCATTGCAATGCCATTGGTGTGAAAGGGAAAAAACACAGGAATTGGACTCGGAATTCTTTTGTCTGTCATGGCTCCTGCTGCTCCTCCCTCCTCACTCCCCGCTATTCTGATGTTTGTATTAGGTTTCCCACAATGCTCTTTTAATCATGTCCTATATCATCCTAAGGATGACAGCAACAAATGTGCTCGTGTGCTTCATCCGCTATTTACTGGGGTTTGCAGCTGGGATTTTGGCAGCCCTGATCCCAGAAGTGCTCAGAGCTGAGCGCTTCATGTTCACTCTCTGCAGGGGACATTTGGGGAACAGATGTTCCTCTGTGTCCTCCTACTCATCACCTTGATGACTTTACTGTAGTCCAGTACTCACCCGCTCTTTCTAGGAGCCCAAGAGCACAACCATGCAAGGGGAGGGTGAGTTGCAGCAACCTGCGAGTCCTGTAAAAGAGATCTGACTCCTCTACAGCGGTCCATATCACTGTTACTAAATAGTGCTGAGCCTGATGAGAAAAGATTCCACTGTAGATGTGAGCTTCCTTTAACAAATGCAGCGCAGTGGCTTAGTGGTTAGCACTTCTGCCTGACAGCACTGGGGTACATGGTTTGAACCCCAGTCAGGACACTATCTGCAAGGAGTTTGCATGCTCTCCCTGTGCTTATGTGTGTTTCCTCCCACACTCCAAAGACATGCTGGAATGTAAATTGGCCCTTTATGTGTGTGCAATAGGGACCTTAGACTGTACATTCCTTGCGGGGAGGGACTAATGTGCTGCATACATTGCCAGTGTTATATCAATACCTATAATTGTATATTGCTAGGTACACCCCTGCCTGTGTCTCAGTGACTGGACCTGGTATGTGGCTGTTCAGGCAATGTAAGAGGTCAGGGGGAAAGTGCAATAGCTAATAATAATGAAAGATTTTCCATATGCCAATGGTAAGTTCTGGCAGCAATGGTGCCTGCACCAGTGGGGAGATTCTGTATTTGGTTTGCCTTAACTTGCTTTAATACTATCCCAATGACTATGAACCTGTGTCTGGACTTTTCACATGTTATAACGTATGGGATGGAAGATGCGGTCATACATTGTATTAATGAGAATTCAGTAAGACATCATCTCTCGTCCCCTGAACCACCATACTGTCTGGCTTGGACTATCACCATGGATGGAAACCTCTTCTACAGATCTGTCTGCAGCTCAGAAGGGAAACGCATGGACTTCCTATTGGTCTCATGTATGGGAATTATTAGCACAGCGTCAGACTGTAACATAAATCTTCTCAGGAGTACACACCTACCTGAGAACATTTCCCCAAGGGTGGTATATCCTTTAGAGATGGCTGTTTCTACAATTGTTCCCAATGTGACTTGTTTAGTATTGTCCAACAGCCCCCCTGCCATCCACAGGGCAACCAGACCACACCTAAAGGATGAGGACAAAGATTGCAGACATGTCATCTAAATACAGGAAACACTGAAAGACAAATCAATAACATTGTGTGAAAATCCATCATCAATAGAAAGCATGGTACGCCATGAAGGGGTATATAGGGGTATACAGCACACAGTGGCTTAGTGATACATAGAAATGTTGCTTTGCAGCACCAAAGTCTAAATGTAACTTTAACCAGGGACTCTGCATGGAGTTTGTATGTGCTCTCCATGTTGGTTTGCTCTGACAACTCCAAAGCTTACTAGCATATTACCCAGTTTTCACCATGCACTGGCCCTGGACTATGTGTCTGTGTGTCCTTTCTATTGTGACATTAGACTTCAAGTTTCTTTAAGCTGGACTCCAGGCAGATATAAAAGACACAAAGTAATGCAGCTCTCTATCCGTTCATAGACACTTGTTAAATGCAAACACCTGAATTTGACCTCATATGAGCCCCTTGGCATTCCTGCAAAGCAGAGCTCAGAGGGGAGGGGGGGAGAAGCAGCACAAGGAGCCAAAAAGGCACATTGAAGTAGAACTACGGGCAAACGTTTTTTTGGCGTAGTTCTCTTTAGGGTCACAGGTGTACGAATATTAATGTCCTCCTGTGACCCAAAACGCAGCATATAGCGGGCTATTGGTATATGGCAGAGCTGGGGATCCACCCCACCACCTGATTGACAGCTGGCTCTGCCTCCCTAGAACCAGCTGTGCCTCTCCACTCTCCTGTCTATCCCTCCAATGAGCTCTGGAGGAACAGAGAGAGCGAAGAGGGAGTCCCTGTGGGAAGCAGAGACTTACAGTCACCGCTCTCTGCAGGCAGATTGTGAACGAATCGATCAACCGTATGTGATCGCTCAGTTCTCCATCTATAGAGCCGACGTGTGACAGATTCCGTGCCACGCAGCGGCTCAAACTATTGGGGTTGAGTGTATTTCGCTCTCCCCATACTTCTCCTTTAACTGCACCAGAGGACAGAGGTCCCTCGTTACAGGATATGATAGTGATCTCAAGTAATGAGTGGGGTGGTAGGCCTGAGTTCTACTTCCATTAATCAGAACCAATGTCTATAGCTGGTCTGTATTTATTTCTTTATAGGCCGTTTTCTTGTGTCATTGTCTGTGTCAGTCAGGACAACTAAGTGCTTACACTTACTGTGGTCCCTCCTGTATCACGGATGGTATGTGGTTGTTATACAAAAGCCATTTTAATGTTCCATTGAATCTAACAGAGAAAGAAAGACAGATGAATCACATGGAATAGATGAAGACATTTTATTTTACCATTTGGTAAATTCAGCTGATCAGTGTGATTAAGCTTTTAGTAAACTGGAAAGAAATGTGATTGTACAACTATCAGCAGCACTGCGGTGTAGTGGTTAGTACTTCTGACTTGCAGCACTGGACCTGTAAGACGTTTGCATGTTCTCCGTGTGCTTGTGTGGGGTTCCTTCCACAGTCCAAAGACACGGTTTGGCTCCTGTGTGTGTGTATGCCAGATAGGAACCTTAGATTGTAAGCTCCTTGAGGACAGGAACTGATATGAATGTGCACGGTGTAAGAGTACTCATACTCATCCAAATGCTCCGATACTTCCATTAGCAGGAAGCTGGGCAGCGAGTCATTACACACTGCCCAGCTTCCTGATTGGCCAGGAAGCTGCCTCCATGTTCCCTTGTGACAAGGGAGTATGGAGCCAGCTTCCCAGCCAATCAGGAAGCGTGCAATGACTGGCTTCCTGATTGGCCAGGAAGCTGACTTCATGCTCCCTCGTCACCTGGTGACAAGGGAGCATAGAGTCAGCTTCCAGGTCCAATCAGGAAGCCGGCTCCATGCTTTCTCGTCACCTAGTGACAAGAAGCATGGGAACGGCTTCCCTACTAATCGGGAAGCCGGGTGGCAAGTCTTTACACGCAGCCTGGCCTCCCAGCTAATCAGGAAGCTAAGTTGGAAACGTCATTACACACCGCCTAGCTTCCTGAATGGAACTTTCTGTATTGGCGTGTACTGAAAAAAAAATATCGGTACTTGATACCGAAATACTGGTATCGGTGCATCCCCTACCTGTAATAATTATGCATAGTGGTGAAAACACTGTCCATCCCCGGTGCACTGACTCCCCTCTGCCCATAACTATAGATGGACTCACCGAACTTGCTGCTTCCTAATCATCTTCTTCAACTCTTCACATCCTCCGACTGAGGGATCGCTGTGCTCTGCCACCTTCTTATAGAACTTGCTTCTCTCCAGCATTGTAAGTGAAGGCCCATAGGCTGGTGGTGGAAAGAATGGTGGCGGTAATGGCGGTGGAGGTATTGGGATGGCAGTATGAGCAGCGCACGCTCCATCCTCCTTCGGCATTCTCCTCAGGCATGGGTCTTAAAAGATGGTATCCATTCAATATCATTCCAAAACTTCATTTACATCTCTTAGAAGCACAGTCCACCTTTCATACCACGTTTCATCTTACACCCATATTTAGCATGTAACACAGGGTTAGGCAAATTAGCACTCCAGCTGTGGGGAAACTACAAATCCCATCATGTCTCTGCCTCTGGGAGTCCTGCTTTTGTGTCTGTCAGAGTCTTGTGATGTCTCATGGGAGTTGTAGTTCCACAACAGCTGGGGTGCCGAGGTTGTCTACCTCTGGTGTAACATGGAGCATGGTAGCATGCTCCCATTTTTTTAGCCTAAACCAGAGAGTTATCGTACATCTGAAGGCAGAACGACTTTATTGTGTCAGTTTAGGATGCACTGGAGATGTGTTTAAACCCCTGCCAGGTTTTTATTGCTGTCTGTTCCCATTGGGGAGAATCACCCTCTTTATTTGGCCTAGTGACCACTGTCAGCGGGACAGAAAGTGATAGCAAATCCATCATAAAGGATGAGATTCGAGTTTGCCGCTTTGTCGGGTTTGAGGTGAATCTTACGGGTTCGAGATTCCCGGTCCTGGTGAACTTTGTCCATTAATCCACAGTCCCTGTATGACCTTTGAACTATGGCTAGTAGGCGTAGAAGGGTCAATATGGGGGCTTTTGGATAAGCCACCATCTCAGCCCACTGAGGGGATGGCTGGAAGGCTTTGTGGGCTCTTGTTCCAGGATATTTTGGGGGGTTTCATTTCTTTTGGGGGTTTATTGGTCTTTATTTATAATATGCATTTTTTAAGTCTGGGGAACTCAAAGTGCGCCATTCACCTGTCACTGACCAATTAATCTTGGAGCTGCCTTTTTGCTTGCAGCATGCCACTGCATTGTTTGAAAGAAAGTAACCAAGTGCAGGAAAAGCGTAGTTTTACTTTTGTCATATATATGAGGGTACCCTAAGCTAGTGTATTCCCCGAATTTCCAGGAACTGCGTTCACCTGTGGGACCTCACATCAGTCCCATTCACTGCACTCCTGTCACCCCGTAGTTTAAAAACAATGTAAGTCACACACAGGTTAGGCCTATTATCCCTGATTAAAACTGTCCTACGGCTGGCCACAGCTGTAAGACGTCCCCCAAACATGCTGTAAGACGTCCCCCAAACATGCGGTAAGACGTCCTCCAAACATGCGGTAAGACGTCCCCCAAACATGCGGTAAGACGTCCCCCAAACATGCTGTAAGACATCCCCCAAACATGCTGTAAGACGTCCCCCAAACATGCTGTAAGACGTCCCCCAAACATGCTGTAAGACGTCCCCAAACATGCTGCAAGACGTCCCCCAAACATGCTGTAAGACGTCCTCCAAGCAGTATTTGTGTATTTTTAATGTTGCCCTCAAAAGCGACATGAAGAGACCCTCTCGCTGCTGTAGAGTATTTTCTGCCATTGGCACACGTCCTCCATTTCACTGCCCATTTTTGGGGCGTTAGTTTGCCTGTTAGCTCTAAGCTCTGTCCAGAACTTACTAACAGAATTCCCCCCCTTAGACCCTAATAGGATTCAGCGGTAAGTTTGGGTTTGCTGCATTTCAAACAGGATTCGCCAAGCCCTCGGCTAATCGAACCCTGGCAGATTTGCTCATCCCTATCCGTAATGCTTATATGTGTCAGCAGGACAGCAATAAAAGAGAGTTCTTCCAATGAGGACTCCTGGTATGGGAACACCTACAATGAGTGGATGTCCCCAAACCTTAAAGAGATTTCATCTTATTGTTGTCTCAGTGTCGGGGAACAAAGGAAAATCCAGGGCATCTGATGGTGAGCTTTGTATGCTTGCTGTGGCCTTTATAAGGGTCTCCTACTCTTCTTTTGGTTGGGTTATTATGTTTCCAACATTTTAAAAGCTTTATCAATGAACGCAAGGTACGATCCACGTTCTCAACCCTTCAAGATAACACTTTAGGAACAATGAGACTGAGTACGCAAAATAAACAATTCAAAAATTAAACAATTTGGGGTAACGTAGTAAGTACATTAATACAGAATGATAACATTAAGGAGGTGTGTGGTATGGAATCTCGAGGGTCCTGTGGTGTCTTTGCTAGGTCCGAAGGTAGACAATGCATAGCACTTTGGTACATATCAGGTATTTCTGATATGTATTTACAAATTTGGTGCTGATGATGTAGTCCATGTTAATGGGGGCTTTTGAATGGTAATAGAGATATTTTGTCTATTGTTGTAGGAGAGTTTTGCAACATGGTCAAGTTGGAAAAAAAGGAGGGGAGAGGTAGGGGGTAGGAATGGGGAAAAGATGGAAAGGAGGGTGGAGAGTCCAAGCTGAATTATTCATATTATACACAAGGGAGTGGTGGTAACACCCAATGTTAGATGGAACCAGGCATAGGAACTGGGGAGATCTAAACAATTTACAGAGCCAAAACACCTCAGCCAGTTCAGGGAGGATTCAAATGTAAATGCCTTGATCATCTTACATCTGTTGTAGTCAGGAGGTGTTGGTTGGAGGATCTCACAGCTGCATGACAGTTCATGTATAATCATCTCACCACCACATACAGTATATCAGTCTGACTATTAGGGATATCCGGATACCACTTTTTTTAAGACCAAGTGCAAGTACAAGTACTGTCCCTCATGTAGTTGCCGATACCAATTGCCGATAATTTTTCTTAAAGGGACGTGTGGCAATTTTTTTCTAAAACAACACAGACTGATGATTTTAGGGCAGTTTCTAACCAGGGCTAAATACAGATGTCACCAAAGCTGAATACATGTCCCCATAGCCGAGCACATAGAATGGCTTAGTGTGAGGCCTTGGGTTACAATGAGTGGTAGTGTGAGGGTTGGGGGTTATAGAAGGGCTTAGTGTGAGGTTTTGGGTTACAGTGAGAGGTAGTGTGAGGGTTGGGAGTTATAGTAGGGCTTAGTGTGAGGGTTTGGATTACATGGAGAGGTAGTTTGAGGGTTATAGTAGGGCTTAGTGTGAGGGTTTGGGTTACAGTGAGAGGTAGTGTGAGGGTTGGGGGTTATAGGAAGCGGTAGTGTGAAGGCTTGGATTACAGGGAGAGGTAGTGTGAGGGTTGGGGTTATAGGAAGAGGTAGTGTGAGAGTTGTGGTTATAGAAGGACTTAGTGTGAGGGTTGGGGTTATAGGGAGAAGTATTATAAGTGTTTGACTTACATCGAAGGTAAGTGTAGCTGTTGCGGGTTATAGGGGGCTTAGAATGATAGTGGGGGGTTACAGCCAGGGTTAGTGTGAGGGTTTGGCTTATATGGAAGGTGAGTATGAAGGTTGGGGTTAAATGGAAGGTTAGTGTAACAGTTTGGAGCTATAGGGGGGCTTAGTGTCACAGATGGGGGTTAGAGGAACGGTCAGTGTTAGGATCGGGTTTCATAAAGGGTTAGCGCCAAGGTTGAGGTTACGGGGCGGGTTACAGCAGGGTCACGGTAAAGGGCAGGGTTAGATGAGAACTCATGTCACCAGCACACCATGGATTCGTGATCAATAGTTCAAAACATTTATTTAAGAGATCAAATCACAAACTATGTGAAACACAATGTTTTGAGGACAAGATCCCTTCGTCAGGCATGTGATAGCTTACCGTCACGGTTATTGTTAGGGCCGGGTTGCAGGCAGGTTAGTGTGATTGATGGGGGTGGGGTGATTAAAAAGGATTAGAGTTATGGATGGGGGTTTAGGTGATGGATGGTGAGAGTTAGTGTGAAGGATGGGGGTTGTTGTCATTGATAGGGGTAAGGTTTGGGGTAAAGAATGCGGGTTGGCGTCATGGATAGGGGTAAGGGTTGAACAACGGGGGTTGGCGTCATGGATGGGATAAGGGCTGGGGTGATGGATGGGGTTGGAGTCATGGATAGGGGTAAGGGTTGGCATCATGGATAGGGGTAATGGATGGGGGTTGGCGTCATGGATAGGGGTAATGGATGGGGGTGATGGCATCATGGATAGGGGTAAGGGTTGGGGTGATGGATGGGGGTTGGTGTCATGGATAGGGGTTAGGGATGATGGCATCATGGATAGGGGTAAGGGATGGGGGTCGGCGTCATGGATAGGGGTAAGGGTTGGGGTGATGGATGGGGGTTGGAGTCATGGATAGGGGTGATGGATGGAGGGTTAGAGTTGGTGTGAAGAGGAGGTTGTTGTCCTTGGATAGAGACGAAGGTTGGCGTGATGGATGAAGGTTGGGGATATGTTTTGGGGGGGAAGGGAAGTTGGTGACTCTAATTACAATGTATTCGGTTGCAGCCGACTTCCTCACACACAGTACACAGCAGAGTGCCGATTTGTCGGAAGTTGGGCCTGTACAGCGGTAAACATGGCACTCGGCTGCTATGGGTAACATTCTCTTCTGCCACCGGATAAGCTGAGAGAAGTGAGAACTCAGAAACCCACCCCTCCCTGTCATGGCAGCGCCTCATGGAGAGGGCGGGAATTACACCTAACCGCTCACACACAGACACACAAATGAATGAACAGATAGTCACGTTTTACACCAGAACGCTGAATCTCGTTTCCGAGGGGAAGGAATTCGCTGCAACAGCTTCCGGCACTGGCTGGCGTGTGATTGGCCATTCGATAAACCTCATTGGACAGAGTAGACGCACATCATGAGGCGGGACTACTCAAAGCCAATCATATTTCTGTTGGCGAGTAGGGGCGGGAACATAGTGTAGTATCGCGGGGTGAAGGCCTTGGGGTTGAATTGAATGAGAATTCTTCAGTCGCGCTTGAATCCCTGTTGTGTTCTTCCGGCCGGAGTCCGCCATTGTTCCCTCTGGTAAGTCGCCGCATGTCTGTGTGTATAGAGATCAAAAATCATCGTGTAATCCTCTAGACTCGTCTATTGCCCACGAGAACTCCCTCCTGCCGTGTCTCAGCCATTCCCTCCATCTGTGCGTGCTGCACGATCTATCATTGCCATACAGTGTCCATCTTGTCCTGCTCTAATACGGAGGCGATTGCAGCAGATCTCTCCTAGCACAAATAATAAAGAGTGATGGGTTTTTGGCAGAGCAGAGAGTTGGGGGATGGGGGGGTTTGCTTCTAGCATCACATATTTTATTATAGTATACACTGCTTGTGGCGCATGCACCATGTAATGTACACCAATGGCATCACAATTAGGGTGTGGTATGCACTGGGTGACACCATCAGGGGGGTCATACCAAAATGACCGTATTTTGGTGTCACCCCCCACCCCCTTAAATGTTGGGCACTCAGTCATGGTCTGAGAGCCCAATAGTGGCACGAGAGAGAAGGGGGGAGACTCCGCAGCCTAGCTGATCCCACCCTGTCAATATTTCCTTCTTTCTTTGATGGTTTCCATCACCAAGATGGCTGCCGGCATTGAAGTACATCACTGCTCATGCATGATGATGTTGCACCATGGACAACATAACGCATGTGCTGCTGCCTCACTGGGTGACACCAATCCTGACCATTTACTGCTTGAATTTTGGGTGATTCCTGCTAAACTGACCTAAATTCAAGCTGTTGGTGGCCATGTCAGCAAAAGTCAATTCAAAAGTTCTTGGCTGAGCTGTGCCTGCATCCTATCATGTCAGCACTGTTTTATTTAGGCAGCCGAATGCAGTAGTCAGCAGTGCAGGTTCCTCCTTCCATGCTGTTTAGCATGAAGGGGGCACTCTAATGTTTGCTGTCTGAGAGATAATCAAGCTGTGTATGGCCAGCTTAGGATACTAAGAATGGAGCTGGGAAGATGTCACTCCCTTGCAGTAATGACTACATAGAAGTTACATGGTTGGTGGTTGCCCAATGGATGCAAAGGAGGAATGTGGACATGCAAGAAGTGGTGAGAAAGATGGCGGCAGACAGAGCAACAAGGGAGAGCTCTGATCTGGCCATGTAGGAGGAGAGCGGAGTCGGCTATGATGTGTCCAGATGCTGTGCATCATAATGGGAAAGAGAAACGGACCTGCAGTTCCACTTTAGGGTTTGTTCACGCCATGTCTGCTGAGCTGCTTTGTGTCTGCACACCACCACACATGTATGGTGCGAACAGGTCACATAGAAAACCATTGTATGTGCTCTGTTTACAGCATACATGTGCGGTGGTGTGCAGAAAAACCCAGCCCAATGTGCATGATGTGAACAAGTCATGAAAAGTAAAGGGAGAATGTTCCCTCGTTCTGCTGTGTGACTCTTGCTTTCTTTGGGCCTGTGTCAATGGGCTTTACCTTTCTCTTACAAGTCTATGGGAATGCGAAACCAGCTTGATGCAGATCAGGAGGAGGTCAGAGGTACCTGTCAATGGATTCTGAATGATCTCAGAACTGATGTCATTGACACAAGCCCAAAGTCTGACACTGGCTGTTATAGAGCTAGAACAACTAAAGAATGCTCAGCGTCCTACACTGTGGAAGGTGACATCCAGTGCTCGGGACTTCCATTCCAGAAATTACAGTATGAAATGTACAAGACTGTGCAGGCTTTGTGTTGATGCAGCACCTAGAGCATGGAAATATGGGGGTCAGTACACATTCTGGAGGCTGTCATGGGGGGGAGTGCTGAACTCCCACTAAGCAACAATCGCAATACATATAAGTAAACTAAAAGTGAGATTGTAGTTCATCACAGGAGTGAGCTTGGAGCGGTGACTACTTTACAACACACACGGACCATGGGGAACAAAAGTAGTCACCCTCCAGAAGGAAGGACAGTGTCCGCACCAATTCAGTGATTTGAGGATCTACAGCCGAGTGATACACAAATAAGATACATCTTTGTTATTAAGGTACCTGAATGTATTCTTAAGATTTAACTCCTGGGTTTAGTGTCACTTTAAGGTTTTAACTAGGGATGCGCTGATGCCGAATACTTGCCCAAATGCTCAGATACTTACCCCTGATACTGGAACTTCCGGTCAGAGGGAGATTTCCTCTGACCGGCAGTGTCGCGAGGGATCATGGAGACGGCTTTCTGGCCAATCAGGAAACCGGGTGGCGGCTAATTACTCGCCGCAGGGCTTCCTGATTGGCCAGAAAGCCAGCTCCATGCTAGCAGAAGTATCGGTGAGTACCGAAAGGTAAAGAAAAACAGTATCTGTGCATCCCTAGTTTTAAAGGAGAACTATGAGATGAGTGATTTCCACTCGCCTCATAGTTCTAAGCCGATCTGTGACAATGAGACTCAGAGGTCGGCTCAGTAGATCGGGAAGTGAGAGAACACATACCGGGTTCCCTCACCTCTCGATCCTGTCACGGCTCTCTGCCGTGACAGGGGGAGTGGCTGGATTCCCCTCTCCCCGCTCCGATCTGCCAGCGCTGACTGGCGGAACGGATGGGGGAGGGGGCGGGTACAGCTGGCTCTGCCTCTAGATAGGCAGAGCCAGCTGTCACTCACGCAGCTGGGCGGATCCCGTCAGCTACGTCGGGATCCGCTCCAGGTGCGGCGTCTCAGTATACCGCAAGCTGTAGCTCGCGGTATACTGAGCTTAGGGTAACGGGATGATGCTAGTTTGTGTCCTCCCGTTACCCTAAGGAGAACTATGGGGGGGAAACACTGACCCCATAGTTCTCCTTTAACCCTCTCTACTCAAACAAAACATGAAAAATGTTTTGGTTTAAATTTTTTTTACTGAAATAGGGCTTTAATTGTATAATAACATATGTCGTCTTCTAGTCTAGTGTGAAATGGCTGTCCAAGAGACCAGACCAAACAACACAATCTACATCAACAATCTGAATGAAAAGATAAAGAAAGATGGTAAGCCTTTTATAGCGCACAGTATCTGTAGATGGCTCTTGTCTTTTTGAAATGTTCCTTTTTAATATGGTAATGGACCTAAACGTCAAAATTCAATGACAGATGGAAGTCATCTGGCAACTCCCAGTGGTTACATTTTTCTGCCATTGTTCAGAGCTCCTCTGCCTGGGTTTGAAGTTTTGGGTATTCTTTTCCTGATATTGGATTCTTTTATTTTATGGAGAGCGCAACAGGAAAAATGAGAGTTCTAATGGATGTGGCAGGTCTACGGAATCAGATGCTTTTCTTTGACTTGCTGCATTCCTTACCGAAAGTCCCTTGTAATGAGAGGGGGGCTCGCAGTGACTGCGGAAATATCAGCAAAATGTAGTAATATCACCACCACACCCGAAGTCTTTTAGGATAGCAGAATGTTCATTTATTTGAAGTTCCTTGTCATATAAACAAGCCCTTTTGGGGCCACGCAGGGTCCCTTCATCAGGCTTAGCCTTGGTCTGCAGAATCAGACTCAAACTAAAATGTTGCCGGACTACATGAAGGATTTGAAATGACCTGGTGGTTTCCCTCCTACATCTACCAAAAACTAAAACTCACTTCTGTGTGCACTGACCCACTAAAGGGACACTGCTCCTAAACAAAAGGGTGAAGAGTTTGGAGAAGGCAGAAGAAGGGAACAATCTAGGCCAAAAGAGCGGATTTGGAAAAATTCTCCAATTCAGCTCACTTTCCAGTTTTTAGCCATGTTGTCCTAGGTTAGGGCCTATTCCAAACTCTTCACCCTTTGTGAATAGCACTGTCAATGTTTCATATTTCCAAAACGCGCTGTACTCCGAAGAAGCAAGGGAATGCTTGCCTGTCCTGCAACTATACACAGAGATCTGCCCGGCTGAAGTCTTCACTAGGAACCAGCATTCCCAGGTGTGTAATTCCTATGTCCCCTGTATCACTGGTTCATCCCGCTGACCCCTTTGGCACTACAGGACACGATAGTGATGTGGAGGTCAGCGGGAGAAACCAGTGAGCACTGTGAGGAACCAGGAGATCAACACTCCAAGAAGTGTCTGTTCCTGCAGAAGACTTCAGCCAGGGAATATCTTCAGAATGATGTTTGGCTGTAGGAGAGGTGTATTTCTGTGCTTCGGTACAGGTACTGCTTGTTTGGGAAACTTAAGATTTGGGTGAATGTTTTACCAAAATCATAATTGGTGAGCTTATATGTCGGTATGACAAGAATTGTTTCTTTTTCATTAGAGCTGAAGAAATCTCTGTACGCAATCTTCTCCCAGTTTGGCCAGATCCTTGACATCCTGGTGTCACGCAATCTGAAGATGAGAGGACAGGCCTTTGTGATCTTTAAAGAAATAAGCAGTGCAACAAACGCCCTGAGGTCCATGCAAGGATTCCCTTTTTATGATAAGCCAATGGTTGGTATTTTAGATCCCTTTTTTTTGCTGCACATGAAATGTGGTTTAGGGCTTCCATGCCTCAAATTTAAATAGAAGTAGCAGGAAATAGGGGTGGGCTGCTTTCTGGGGGGAAAAATGGCCCTCTAAGCCAATACTGCTGACTTAGAAATCCAGTTATATGATTCCATAAGCCAAGTTGTGACTGGTTCCAAGCATTGTGGGGGAAGTTGTTCATCTATTGGGGGGAGGGGGATTATCTCGCTACCAACAGTAACCTTATGATAGATTTACATACATGCATGCATACATACATACATACATACATACAGTAGAGTGCATGTAGGGAAATCTGAAGCAAGATTTTTGTTTAGCATTTCATTTCCTCTAAACATTTTGGGTAATTTTTATTATATTTAAGATTGCTAGATCAGATTTGACCAAACAAGAAGTATACACGCCAATATGAGCTTGGACTGGTGTAAAACAACCTTGTTTTAACCTGATACCTTTTTATCTAACAATAGAGAATACAATATTCAAAGTCTGACTCGGACATCATTGCTAAAATCAAAGGCACTTTCGTGGAGAGAAAGAGGCAGGAGAAGAGAAAAGGAAAGGTCCCGGAGGTTGCAATTGTTAAGAAAGTCATTCCAGGGGCCCCTGTTCAAGGCATGCCAGGGCAGATGCCAGTAAGTGTGACTTGTAAACATATTGCATTGTGTGTCTCTTGTTGTCTGTGCCAGACTCCTAAATGTTCCCTTCCTTTAGGGTATGGCAAACATGCCCGGTATGAACCAGGCTCCTCGTATGATGCATATGCCTGGACAGACACCGTACATGCACCATCCTGGAATGATGCCACCACCAGGAATTGGTCCTGGACAGATCCCGCCTGGTGGCATGCCCCATGGTCAGATGATGCCAGGACAGATGGCACCAATGCAGCCGGTGAGTGCTAATTCAAATAGGGTTTTTCTAATCGTATTATACATAAAATAATCAGTGTCTTAGATCTCATGCTGCGTAGACACATCTAAATGATGACTTGCTTTTGTATAAGCTCCGCCCCATATGAAGCAGTATGCTGCTTGTTTATATGTAGAATTATTTCCACACGAGAGGGGAGATTGTTTCCATGGTTCTTCAGACTCCACTCTGCATTTCCTACAGTTCTCTAGCTCAATTGTCCAGAGGGAAGCTTAAGTTATCACAATTTGAGGCTTGGTGTTGGCCCCTCTAACCCTGCTGCCTTAGGCACTGGTCCACTCGTATCTTATGATCAATACAGCCCTGAAAATATGGCTTTCTGAATGTCCTAAAGTGTGCTCTCCACCTCCCAGTGACGGTCTGATTTTTAGAGGTTACCAGGTAAAATCCAAGCCATCCATGTCCATTATTCTGTTTTCTTGTAGGGAAGTCTTGATGTTTTCATCCAGTGTGTGTGTATGTATATATGTGTGTATATATATATATATATATTAATGTGTGCATTGTAATTTTGTTTAAGCTGCAGCTTAGTGAAAGGCTAATACCTCTCTAAATCCATCATCTTCCACAGATCTCAGAAAACCCACCAAACCACATTCTCTTCCTAACCAACCTTCCAGAAGAGACTAATGAGTTGATGCTGTCTATGCTCTTCAATCAGTAAGTAGAACTTGTAAACCTTGAGGTCTATTAGGGGAAATCCTTCTGCTGTCATATAGAAGATTTAAAAGTCCAATCTTTTATAATGTATTATTGCCAGATTGGCACATTTTACTTACTCACCGGGGTATTCTGCCTCCTGTATGTATGGGTCAACCCTATAATCTTCATTCCTCCTGTACATCTTTGTGCTCCACTGCCCACTATTCCTAAAAGAAAAAAAAGAACCTGCTGTAAATTGTATGTCCTCTGGCCCGACAACACTTTCACATATGATGCTCACACCTGCCCCACCGCTGCTCAATGTATTATCCTTCTCTGACTAAAACTGGCTGTTCTTCAGTCCAAACATTCTCCCCCTATGCTGCTCATACATATTCCCTGTGGTGTTCATACATTCCCAGCAGGAAGAACACACTTTAATATTGGCACGTAGGTTCACATATCTAGCTGTGCATTGACAGCCCATTACAACCCATTCATGAGCAGACATACGCTTACTAGTTGTGTTTTTAATATGCTAATATTTACTAGGTATTTTTTTTTTCTGTCTTGTGCTATAACTTGTGTACTTTGAGGGCCCATCCACCCCCTTCTCTGGGTGTCGGCACATACTTTTTTCGGCTGCTGACATGCATAGAGTAATGGCGTCCCATTTAGTTTTTTATCAGGCATTACCAAGGCTCACTGTGCAAATTTTACCTGCATCTTTTGGGCAACACAACGTTTCTCTGTACATCGTGGTGTGCCATAGCACAGGTGCATTTTTTTTGCTTACTGAATAGCAGCATACCTTAAACCACAGGTTACGCAATGCAAAGTTTGTATGATTCCCTTAAAGGAGAACTATGGGGGTAACCTTTTTATCCCATAGTTCTCTTAAGGGTCACGGAAGGACATTCTAACATCCTCCTGTGACCCAAAACTCAGTATATAGCGAGCTATTGCTCGCTATCTAACGAGATCGCAGCAGCCGGGACAGATCCCGACAATGCTGTCTGGATCCACCCAGCTGTATGAGTGACAGCTGGCTCTGCTTATTTAGAGGCAGAGACAGCTGTGCCTGCCTCGTCCCCCGTCCGTTTCTCCTCTCAGTGCTGGAGGGGAGGGGGGTGGGAATCCTTGCGGGGAGTGGTGACTGACAGTCGCCGCTCTCTGCAGGGAGATGATCGGAAAGTGAGTGAGAGATGGTATGCGTTTGTTCACTTCCCGATCTATGGAGCCGACCTATGACCGTTTCATTATCACAGGATGGCTTCATCTCTGAGGTTGAGTGAAAAATCACACCTCCATAGTTCTCTAAGTATAATGCAAGGGTCTGAATTCACTTTCCTCCCTTCTCATGTAGTGTGGTACTCTCCATAAAACTATGCACATCTCGAGGTTGACTCTTTGCCTATTCTTCTCCTATAGGTTCCCTGGCTTCAAGGAAGTCCGTTTAGTTCCCGGGCGGCACGATATCGCATTTGTGGAGTTTGACAATGAAGTCCAGGCCGGAGCTGCTCGAGAATCTCTACAAGGATTCAAGATCACACAGAGCAATTCAATGAAGATTTCATTTGCCAAGAAGTAGTATGATGGGGGACAGGAAGATCTCAAGCTTTAGATTGTTCTGGGTTCCGGTGAAAATGATTGGCTCGCTGTACGAACAGTTGAAGCCGAGTATTCAGACACTTTTTTTATTTTTATGTCTATGACCTCCCAGCGTACTGTTGGTGAGTATAGATTTATTTTATATTTTATGGACTTTTTGAAAGCATTGCACCCAGAGTCTGCCCGTCAGACATTTTACCTGGAGCTTGTGAATAAAATGTTTTCTACTTATGTCTCGGTCTCATTCATTGTAATATTAGAAAAGTGGGGCCACGTGTGACTGCATTCTGTTATATGGAGGTGACACTGAAACAAGATTGTGAAGCTGATGCCAGTCCTTGTCTGCTGCTACAGTGCAGATGTAAACAAGTTTAAAATAAAACAAGCCATGGTTTATGATGACGGCTTTTAAGTCTGGTATACATACTTATAGTTTCCTTGTTCAACCTGCAGGCCGAATGTAGATAATATAACCGATTTTCTCCATCCACGCTTATGAATACTCAAAACGGAGCTTGCGGCTGGTCGGCTGCTAGCTCTGTTTGGTTGAAATTGTCGCCTGCTTGGAGCTGTCCCGACTAGGATTAACTTTCTTTGATTATCCCAGTTGTGGGGCCTTCCCTCCCCATCACCTCCTCATTTTTCCCCTAAGGTTCCTTCTCCACTTGAGGAGAAGCAACTATCCCTGTGGGCACAGAGGTTTTAGTCTGAGCCCTCCCTCACTCACATTTGGTCAGGCCCGGAGTTCTCCCCCATGCTGCCTGTGTTTTTTCCCTGCCACCACAAAGGGTTATTTTTCATGGTATTCTGCATTATGAAACGGCCTACAACTCCTCTGATGATGCTCCTTGTAGTAATGTTTCATGTCGGGCCGGCAGTTGTTTGTCAGCTTGTTCTGAGTATGAAGAAACTGAACAAAGTCTACATTAGGCCTCGTTCTCACCAAGCGCAGAGCAGATCAGTTACAGACTGGAGCAAAACTGCATCCAATGTATTCCAATGGTATTTTTTTAGAGGTGCACCAAAAATGGAAATTTTAAAACCGAAATAAAAAAAAATATCAGGCCGATACCGAAAATGTTTTTATTTTTTCAATTTTTTAAAATATTTTTTTCATAAGCTTTTTAATTTTTATATTTTTATTCATTTTTTATTAAATATTTTTATTTTTTTACTTTTAGGGGCTTCGGGGAAATATTGGGGGTCTAAACAGACCCCTGATATTTCCCTTTTTAAATAGAAAAAGATTGAGAAAACACAAAGTCCTCCAATCTCTTTTTCTGTGTCCCCTGTTATCAATGAACAGAAATCCTCTATGAGTGTTCCTGTTCATTGATAACATGAGGACATTGTTTACTATACCCCCATTCATTCATAATAGTTAATGTAGATGACTTCCCATTTATTCATAATTGAGGATATAGTTAACATGCCATGTCCTCAATTATGTACACACACTCAGCGATCACTGATCGCTGAGTGTGTGT